GCCAACTCCAGCTTCTGTGCCTGCAGGGCCAGGCCAGGCTGAGGCCTCCAGGGCATGGAGGACCCGGTCAAACTCTACCTTGACCATCAAATGTTCACAATGGCAAACAAATGCTTGAAAAGAACTTACGAAGACATCCCTGCCTGGAAGTCTGGCACACACATGGCTATTTACCATTTTTAAGAAAAAAGATGAACAGGGCCTCCCCGATGGCGCAGCGTTTGAGCGCTGGGTTGCTAAGCTGCCCGCAGCCTCTGCAGCGCCGGTTCGATTCCCGGCTGCTCCCCGGCCACCGGAGGAGGGTCCCACATGGCGCGTAGACCTCTCCTGCCGCCCGCTGCTCCCCTCAGCAGTGTACTTCGGTCCTTCTGCCTGCTCTTTCTCCCAGCTCTGGCTCTGGTGAGTTCTCTCGCCCTCCTGTGCTTCTGACTGTACCCAGTGCATGTATGTATGTATGTATAAATAAATAAATGAATGAATGAATGAATGAATCTTTAAAAAAAAAAGAAAAAGAAAAAAGATGAACAGATTTGTCCACTTAAAAGTTTCTGACTTTTTCGTGTTAAGGGCGGTCATGTTATGTTCAAAGGGCGGCTCACTTCCTTCTTGTAAACTTTCAGTTTAAAAGATAAACACAATCACCCATGAAAGAAGAAACAACGAGTCGAGGACCGATTCACAACTGTCCTCCCAAACACCCCAAAGTCCAGCTGGTGGACCCCAGCGATAGGCAGGCGCAGCCGCTGAGGGCCTGAGGGGTCTGGGCCTTGCAGCATGGTCTCTAACATCCATCATAGTCTGTGACATGCAATGTAACACACAGTGTTGATGTCTTGATCCCCATCTGCTTGTTTTTGGTGGCATAATCCCTTCACCAGTGGCTTAGGTGACAGGGGTGAGTTGACATTTACAATCTTGCAACACCAGTAAATGAAGTTTCACAAGTGCCCATTGTTTTGGGTAAAGTCTGTGGACTTCTGACTAATGCAATGTGATATATAGCCTCAAACTGCAAAGGGAAGAAGATTCCTGAGTCACCTAATTGTGAATTCACCCTAATGTCCTAGACAGAAGGGATTTTCTGCCAAGTGAGCCTGCCAACAAGCTCCCTAGGACCTGTTCTTTCCTACCTTAGCCCACAAACCTCTCTGTAATGCCAGCCCCGGGCATGTCTCTCAAGACATGTTTCCACAGCTGCTTATAGGGTGGCACATACTCCCAGCTCACATGGGGAGCAGGGAAGCTATTACAGGGACTTGGAGCAGGACCATGGCAGAGCGTGTGCATGTGTGTGTGCATGCACACACATGTACGCAGTATACAGTGAGGAGTCTAACTGCTGAGACACTAGGTGTCTTAGGTTAAATGTGAGGAGGAGGGCCTCCCCGGTGGCGCAGCGGGTTGAGCGCAGCGCTGGTTCGATTCCAGCTGGCCAGGGAGATTCCCCATGGCAAGGCAGACCTCTCCTGCCTCGCCCGCTGCTCCCCTCAGCAGTGCTTTCAGTCCATCTACCTGTTCTGCTCCCCGCTCTGTCTCTGGTGAATCTGCTCACCCTCCTGCGACTCTGGCCTGTACCCCAGCTCTTGTATAAATAAAAACAAATCTTAAAATAAATAAATAAATAGATAGATAGATAAATAAATAAATAAATGTGGGGAGGAGGTCCATGTTCCTGGCAAATGCAGGAAGCAGCTTGTGGGGGGACAGTATATTGGGGTGAATAGTGTTGCCCCCAAAATTCACATCCACCTGAAATCTCAGAATTTGCCTTCATTTAGAAATAGGATCTTTGAGACTATAATTAGTTAAGACAAGTCTTACTAGGCTAGGCAGGCCCTAAATGCAAAAACTAATGTTGATCTTAGAGAGAGGAGGAGATTCAAACATAGGTGTTCAGACACACGGGGGGTCAAGTGACTGTGGGGGCAGAAGTGGGAGTGACACACACAAGCCAAGGAATCAGGATTGCTAGTGACCACCAGACGTGAGGAGAGGCAGGGAATGAACGGGTGCTCCCTCACAGTTTCCAGAAAGACCAGTGAGCTCACACCTGATTCAGGAGGATTTTAGCCTCCTGAACTGCCAGGGTATGCATTTCTGTTTCAAAACATCTCATTTCGGGCCTCCCAGGTGGCGCAGCGGTTGAGCGCTGGGTTGCGAAGCTGCCCGCGGCCTCTGCAGCGCCAGTTCGATCCCCGGCTGCTCCCCGGAGGAGGGTCCCACATGGCACGCAGACCTCTCCTGCCGCCCGCTGCTCCCCTCAGCAGTGTACTTTGGTCCTTCTGCCTGCTCTGCTCCCCGCTCTGGCTCTGGTGAATTCTCTCACCCTCCCGCGCTTCTGACTGTACCCGGTGCATGTATAAACAAACAAACAAATAAATAAATAACATGCCTCTAAAAAAAAAAATCTCATTTCCTCACCATTTGTTTGGTTCCTCTATTTTCTATATATAAGTGAAATAAATTCCAATATTTAACTTTTGCCTTCTGACTTATTTTCCTTAGCATAATCCCTCCCAGCTCTATCCCAGTTGCTGCAAATGGCATTTTATCTTTTTTGAGCGCTGAGTGGCCAAGGGAAGGAAAAAGACAAAAATTGCAAGCTGACCAAAGATCTGAGGCATACAGCAGGGGAGGGTGAGGGAGAGGATCAAACAGGGGAGGGCAGAGCACCAGGCACTGTGGTGATGGCTCACGGTAATATGGTAGAAGGAGAACTATGGGAACTACACGAGAGGAGAAATCAAATACTGTACAAAAATTAGCAACAATGTCAGAAAATAAATAAATGTAAAACATATAAATAAACCACCTCACTCATAGTAATTTGTTACCACAGCCACAAGAAACTTCCACCCAATCTGAAAGAGGTGTGCACATCCAAGAATACAGTGGACACTGGGTAGAAGCAGTGAAGCCTGACATCCTGCCTCCACCAGGTACCAGGTACATGTCCACAAGTGACTTCACCACTGAGCCTCAGTCAGTCATGTGTTCATATGTTTGATCCCTAGCACCCAGTGTAATGGTTTTGAAGGTAGAGCCTTTGGGAGGTCATCGGGTTTACAGGAGTTTATGAGGGTGGAGCCCCATGCAGAGAGATGCTTGAAAGAAATTCAGGGAAGGGGCATCCCTGGTGGCGCAAGGGGTTAAGATGCAACCTATGAAGCTATCTGCAGCCACAGCAGCACGAGTTCGATCCCCAGCCAGCCAGGGAGCTACCCACAAGGCGCAGCAGACCTCTCCTGTCCCGCCCGCTGCTCCCCTCAGCAGTGTGTTTCAGTCAGACTGCCTGTTCTGTCCCCCCCTCTGTCTCTGGTGAATCCTCTCACCCCCCACACCTCTGGCCTGTACCCCGGTTCTTGTATGCATAAATAAATAAATCTTTGAAAAAAATAAATAAATTCAGGGAAACATACTTGGACCCAGAAGGAGCTTGCATAATTTCTGGGAGTCTGTGGACAAAGAGATGATGAGCATTGCCAAGAGCTTCTTTTGTGCTACTGCTAGCTAGGCCGTACAAGGCCACAAGATGGCGATAAAACTCCACGACTCCCTCCAGGTCCCGCCTACCCAGCGGCTTCGACTCTTTGTTCGCTGGCCAGTGTCCTTCTCCCGTGAATGTCATCATCGCCACTGAGCTTTCTCTCACTTCATACTCTTGGTCTTGCCGTCAGCCATTTTCCCTTCACCTGCCCTAATACAAAAATTAACTCTACCGACCATTGCTATGTCACGTTTTTTTAATGGTAGGGCCTCTGCTCTCAACTATGAAAGCAACTGAAAGCAAATGTCTTGCTTTAAAGGGAAATGTAAAATAAACCAACAAAAGCCCACGCCAGACTGATCTTCCCCTTTTTGTGGTTAATGCCCAAAGAAAAGATTTCCCAGGTACACTGGCTGTGGCCAGGCCTGGAGTGGGACAGAGACAGTTTGCTAAAGGCAAGGATCACTGTAAGCTAAGAGAGGGACCGCCAGCCCTGAAGGTGAGACTGGAGGAGAATGGAGGGCAAAAGCCCATACACCCTATTTAATTTTTTTATTATTATCATGGAAAATTTCAACAATACAAAAGTAGAACAGTGTGGCAGAGCCAGGCTCCCAGGTAAGAAATGTCTGAGGCACAAGCCAGGACAGAGGCGGTGAGGAAGATGTAGGCTCCCAGCAAGATGGGCACTCCTGAGATTAGGTTCCTAGCTCTTCCACCTGTCCCCTCTCGTCCCTCACAAAGTAAAATCCTTCCAGGAGAAGGGGACTACACACTGGTCTTTGAGGGAGGGGAAAACAGAGCCCTGGAGATAACCACTTTCAGCACCAGGAAGGATTTGAATCCTGCCAGCATCCTGTCACGCAGGAACTCTACCTGGGTGGCTTCAGGGACATTTAAAGGCCCAGAAAAGTGTATGGGTAGGGCATTTGCCTAGTTGATGACCTACTGCTTCCATCAGATTGTCAGAGCTGTGGCCATGCCCCCCCATCCCTTCAGGAAAGTCTAAAACACACTGTATTGACACAGATTATGCTTACCCAGTCTTTGTTCTCTGCCAGTCATTATTATTTTACATACGATGGCCTATAATCCTTTAATAAAACTAAGAAAAGTCAGTAGACACAGATCTTTCCTGCTAAAGTCCTTTACTATTTTAAAACGCTATCTGGGGCCTCCCTGGTGGCGCAGCTGTTGAGCACTGGGTTGTGAAGCTGCCCTCAGCCTCTGCAGCGCCGGTTCGATCCCCGGCTGCTCCCCAGCCACCTGAGGAGGGTCCCACATGGCGCGCAGACCTCTTCTGCCGCCCGCTGCTCCCCTCAGCAGTGTACTTCGGTCCTTCTGCCTGCTCTGCTCCCAGCTCTGGCTCTGGTGAATTCTCTCACCCTCCCGTGCTTCTGACTGTACCCAGTGCATGTATAAACAAAACAAACAAATAAATAAATAAAACATGCCCGTATAAAAAAATTTTTTTTTTAATTTTTTAAAAATAAATAAATAAAATGCTATCTGATCTTCCATCCTGTGACTGAATGAAATCCAGCAAAGGGGAAATGTTTTCTATAATTGAGAAATTTATATACATAAGACATGATGGCTGAAATTCTAATGAACTACCTTTAGGCCCTTTATCCTGGGAATATTTAGGTGTATTGATGTCACAGCTGAGAAGAAACCAGAAAATGAATTATACTAATTTTAAGTATATTCATTAACAGTGATATCCAAATTCATTAATAAATAAATTTAGGAAAACATGTTTCACTCTTGAGTCCATGAAATGCATTTTTCACTGCAGATATTTTGTTTCAGAAATAAACCCAGACATAAACATAGTCATTCACAGAAAATGCCACTTATGGCTTTAATATCAAACATAATCAGTTCACAGAAAAGAGAATAAAGTGCAAAAGCTCCATTTCAAAATGTCTTAAATCACTCCCAAAGCAACGGAGATTAAATGCTACCACAGTCACCCTTATACGAAACCCCTAGATAATGTGGAAGGTATAAAACACAGAATATATCTGGAAATACTATGTTTTCTCTGGTTACATATTGTGATTATAAAATAGTCTTAAACCTGGTTTAACATATAATGAAGATACAAATCAAACTCACAGTCCCTTGGAGTAGGGGCCATTTTTTTAAAAAAGTCTGTAGGAGAATGACATCTACAAAGTCCACGGAGACGCCCTCCCTGGCCCGAGACTTCTCTTTAGCCAGTTGGAATGTCAACACTCAGCAAAGAGCTGGCTAGGAAAGGTTCTGAGTTCATTTGAGGGGAAGGGGCTCTGGTTGGGCAAGCTTCTGCCCTCACCTGTCCCCAGAGATGGTTCCATGTCAGCCCTGAGAGATAGAGCGCCAGGGAAGGCTCAAATCCCAGTCCTGGAGCCTCCGCCAGAGGAAGCGTGGAGAACCGGAGAGAGATGCTTTTACACACCTGAGAAATCCAATAAACAGAACAGGTGGCAGTATTTTTACAAAGCCTGTATTTGACAAACTCAAGTTTTGTCCCCCAAGAGAACACCTTTGATTTTTGATAATTCATGTTTTAGGCAGTCTTCAGAGGGACCGGCTCAGTCACCCCAAAATGCAATCCATTCCCAAAAGATTCCAGTATCCCCTCCCCCAAACATTCAATATGTTCACTGGAGCACTTGCATTATAATAATAGAATCCTAAAGGGAAGAAAAATATTCTTTTTCTAAAAATCAATAATCAATCAAACACTATAAAACCAGAATCGCTGACATAAATAATCATTGGTAACATTAATGCTTTTTAATATCTTAAATCCAGTTCCTGCTGGGTATAGTTATTGGGGATATTCTAAACAGAACAAAAATCTGATAGCCAGGTAACCACCATAACCTAACTCCAACATGTCAAGTCTCTACTCCTCTGCCTTATGGGAAGACTGTTGATTGCACATGAATTAATGGGACAAGCTATTTGTTTTTTTAAATCTGAAGACATCAAAACCTGTAGAGATATAAATTTAACAGCTATTTCCCATGATTCCAAGTGCAGAAGAAAATAAAAAAGTAGAATTCATTTCATGATTTCTTAGAGTCCATTCATGTCCAGCTCAATGAAAAAGTTAAGACTCAGTAGTAGGTCAGAATCGAGTGATTAGCACAAACGTGTAGCTAATTCGAGTGTATTTCAAAACCCGTTCTCCATAAAAAAAATCAACAACCGGTATCAGCAATCCAGTCAAGCTAAAAAACTGCCATCTCTACAAATGGTCATTTCTAGAAGGCATCTATGTACAAGTATATTAGGGAAACAAAAAAGAAGACAAAAAGGAAATACACCAAAATATTAACAATGTTTGTCTTTGGGTGTCATAGAAATATAGATGGTTTTTTTCTTCTTCATCAGCTTTTCTATGTTTCCCAAATTTCTTTAAAGAGTATGTAGTGCTAATAAAAGCATTATAAATATAAACACGAACGATGCCATAAAACTAACTTAAAATAAGATCGGTATGTTCTTGTCCTCTTGATTTACTATCCCACACTGGCAAGCTATAATGATTTCTGGTCCAAAGGCGAGTAATGTTCTGTCTTCCTCATATATAGCCCATCGGCACTTCTTTCCCAGTCCTCATCTCATTAAAACCAGACTCTAGAAGGACATTAGGTTTTTCTTATCAAAAATTCCTTCTGACATCCTAACTCAGTGGTGTTTCTTATAGTAGGGATGGAAATAAGCCGGTGAGTCAGGGCATTTACTTCCCCATTTCCAACAGTCACAGTTTATCCCCATTCCTGAAGGACACTCAAGAGACTCTGAAAGAGCCTAGGTCAAAAGCTTAGGGGGGTGCAGGTAGTGTTCCCCACTTGCCTGATGGGGAGAGCAGGTCTCTCCTTCACTGTTGGGACAATGCCCCCATCAGAGGAACCCTCAAGACAGAAATTAAGCCTCACACACACCACCCACTTCTGCATTCTGCTTCTCATCTCCACATCCACACAAAGACAACTGAGCTCAAAATACATCAAACATCTAGCTGGGCACATGTTGATACAGCAGAAAGAATGAGACCAAAATCCATGCCTGGTAAGTCAACCCAAAGTGAGGACAGTCTCACATTCCCCTTTCAAATATTCCAGACTTGACACCCAGAAGAATTAGCAGCAGTTTTAAAAAATTCTGCTGCACCTAGGTCTCAAAGGGGTAACATTAGAAGGTTCACAAATATCTAATTGAAATATCATTCTTAAAACATATTTTAAACTATAGAATAGTAACAAGTATATGCTTTCAAAATCAAATGTATCTGCCTTGGAAACCACCAATTTGTTAATTTGCATTTCACTAGCTGATCTATTATTAAGGAAATGTTCTAAGTAGAACCTGAAAACAAATGTAAACTAATAAAAAAAAATGCATCTCAAATATTAGGGTTCCATAGAATTTCTTACTGCAAGCAGTGTTCTGCTATTAAAATAATTTCAGGACCACAGAAGTAGAATAAAGTCATAATTTTTTAACCTCTAAATTCAGTTACTTATTGGACTTTTCACCTTAGATCTGGTACAAATCCTAACCAGAATAAGAGCTCTTGGGACAGGCCCAGAGCTGCTGCCGCCCAGCTCTTAGGGACACAGACCTGATACGCTCAGGATAGTGTCCACTCAAGAGGGACTATGTGCCCTGCTCTCCTTGCTAAGCAGGAGATGCCTGAGTTACAGTGAATATCCCTGAGTTCATCAGCTCCCACCTCACACCTTAAAGACTATTTAGAGTCTTCCATTCAGCCCAATGAAGGGGAGATTAGTTATAACCAGTGTCACTTTAGGTCAGGAAAACACAGAAGGCAACAGATTTGCAGTGCCGCACCCTCGACCCAAAGCAGCCAGTGTGGTGATGGCCAGCACTTGAGAAAAGCGAGCAGTCCAATGCTCAGAGAAATCACAGGAGGCCCCTCATACAATGAGAACATGGGTGTTATTCCCATAGCACATACCAGAGAAAGAAGAGGGTAGATTCTTGAGGATAATTTCCAGGAGAAGAGAGTATAAGAAGGCTTTAAATGAGAAAAAAATGTCATGTTTGCTCCAAATTTTGAGCCAGGATCCATAGCACAAATGTAACATGCCCTTTGGCAAACTCACAGAGCTCAGGCAGTACAGCGAGGTCTGGATGGGACTCTCCCAGCCTAGCTATTTTTCTCTGTATGTTTGAGGCTACTGGGCTGGGCAGGTGGGCAGATGACATTTAAAAGCTGTGCTCATGTTCAAGAATGGCCTAAGTGGATTGTGTGTTTGCCACAGAGGGTTTTTCTCACCAGTCTCACCCTCACCTGAAGGCAAGTCTCCATCTCTCGGCGGATGTGGCGCTGAACTGCTTCACAGACACACGAGACCAAGGTTGCCGAGAGCAGGAAGTAGAGAACTTGCCTCCAAGCCAGGATCCCAGGGATGCTTCATTTGCTTGCTTTTGTTTTAAGAGAGGTTGCCCCAAATCAGGACATCGGGCCTCTACCATCAGACAGTCCGACGGTCTCATCTGATGTAGTGTCTGTCTGTCAACAGGGGACCCCTTCAAAGAGTGGGTGGAAATGGTGGGATCTGCAGCAGGCAAACTCTCCCCAGGAAGTGAGGCAATAGGCACCACGGGATTCCCCATGGGAATGCCCTGCCATTGTCGGAAGGAGACAGTCCAACAAGCCACAGCACCTGGGAGTGACACGGCGATGCAGCAGGTGCCCCTCAGCCCCACACATCCAGTCTCTGGGAAAGGGAAGGACCCTCAGTTCTCACACACAGCAGGGCCCTGGCGGTCCACACATACACTACATAGAGCCCAAGGGAACAGAATTTTTAAAAGACAGACCCCCACCCCCCGACTCTGCACCCCCCCGACTGTCTCTGCTGGCAAAGAAAGCCCAGTACAGGAGGGAAAACAGGCAGAGAACCAGCTCCACCCTGCCATCACGTGATCTTCACTGGTGACTTCTTGTTGGCGCACAGGAGAGACACATAGGGGACCCCGATGAAGGCCCATTTCTCACTGGGCCAGAACTTGATGACCGGGCCTTGCTCGGGGATCTCAGAGGCAGCATCAAAGTAGGCAAAGCACACGCAGCCCAGGTAGGACGCCAGGCAGATGAGGATGTGCCTGCAAAGGAACAGAGAGGTGAGGCCCAGCAGGGGCAGACCGCCAGGGGTTGGCCTGCTCTCCCTCTGGGCTGACCCACTTTGCCAGGCCAGCAGTCATCCAGGCCAGGGCCTCTTCTAATTAGGAAGGGGTGAATCTGACCAACAGTCTAGTACAGCAGGAGAACAATAAATCTGGAGTAACAGCCCCTGTTTTAAAAGACTTGAAACTACTCTGGCTTAATAAAGGAACAAAGACACAAATGCCTTTAGGGATCTACCAGAACTGAGTTCTGGGTTCACAGGTGAGCTGGGAAGTGACCCAGAGCCTAGCCCTTCTCATCTTAACCATGGCTTCCACATATTTTATAGACTTCGTGAGGAATCATTTTCATTATACTGATGAAATTGCTTCTGCACTTCAGTAGGGGAACTCTCTTTTATCTGTACTGTGCCTATAAAAAGTTGTAATACTAATTTTTATCAAGCAAGGGATCATTTAAGGCATATATATGTGTGTATATACATATGTGTGTATATGTATATATATATAGAGAGAGATATATCAACATTTATATAGAGACAGTTTTGTATCTTCTTTCTTTAAGACCGAACTATAGATATAAATATATGTGTGGGGCTTCCCCTGATGGCGCAGGTGGTTGAGCGCCGTGCTGTGAAGCTGTCTGCAGCCTCTGCAGCACCGGTTAGATCCCCATCGGCCGGTGAGGGTCCCAAATGGCATGGCAGACCTCTCCTGTCTCGCCCACTGCTCCCCTCAGCAGTATTTCGTCAGTCTGCCTATTCTGTTTCCCACTCTGTCTCTGGTGAATCCTCTCACCCTCCCGCGAATCTGGCCTGTACCTCGGTTCTTATATAATAAAATAAATCTTTAAAAAATAAAATAAATTAAAATAAATTAAAAATAAATAAATGTGTGTGTATACATATATCTTTATGCCTTATTTAAGACTGGATCTTAATTTAAGATGAAGGATTTTAAAAATATTTTTAAAACATAGTCTCGGAAAATATTTTTATAAACTTTAGTGGAAGGGCCTTTCTTACAATGTTACAATGCTCACAAGTCTGAAGGGGAAAGCGATGAAAGTCATTCTGAGGCACAGCCACAAGTGCTCACAGCCATAAGCAGGGGAGACGGTTCTGACGGGGCCGTCCGCCTGCCTCCCTATGACAGGGGAGGCCTGTTCTGTAATGTATGTAAAGGGAGAAAAAAAACCCTCAAGGACAAGACTGACAGATGTGAGAACATGGATGTTTAAAACCAGTGTCGTAGGGCCTCCCCGGTGGCGCAGCAGTTGAGCGCTGGGTTGCGAAGCTGCCCGCAGCCTCTGCAGCGCCGGTTCGATCCCCGGCTGCTCCCGCCACTGGAGGAGGGTCCCACATGGCGCGCAGACCTCTCCTGCCGCCCGCTGCTCCCCTCAGCAGTGTACTTCGGTCCTTCTGCCTGCTCTGCTTCTGGCTCTGGTGAATTCTCTCACCCTCCCGCACTTCTGACTGTACCCAGTGCTTGTATAAATAATAAATAAATAAATCTTTAAAAAAAATAAAATAAAACCAGTGTTGTAAAGGAAGAATTATATAATATATATATAATTAAATTAAATTTAAAAAAATAAAATAAAACCAGTGTGGTACAAAAATGTCATAAATGTACTACAAGACAAATGGAAAACTGGGAGGGAGGGAGTATTTGTGTCCTATGACAAAGAGTTCAGTTCCCTGTGTTACAAAGAACCCTAAAAATGTAATCATTTCATAGCATGTCTGGGATTGGCCTTAAAGTAATTGGTGTGGGGGTGGTGTGGGTGATGGTGGCATAAACAAGATTGGCTTAGGCAGATAATTACTGAAGCTAGATGTCAGCTACACAGAGCTTCAGTGCCTCATTCTCTGTAATTCTGAAAATGTTGCAAATTTGCATAATAAACAGCATGTTGTTATGCTACAGTAATGACTGTCTGATATGTGCCAGGAGCTATGTGCTGGACAAATTTTTTTTTTTTTAAATAGAAACACCCCGCAGGGAAGACAAAGAAAGGCAAAAGGCACATTTCAAAAGAGGAAGTATATAACCAATTCACATTTATAAAAATGCCCAACACTGATTTTTAAAAAGAAACAAAAAAAACAAAGGACAATTTTTTCATCAGGTTAGTAAAGATTTAAAAGAGTTAATAATACCTAATAATAATGTGACAGTGTGTGTGAAAGGCACTGCTTTATAGACTTTAGCAAGAAGTCTTAATTGATATAATCTCTCTGGACTTGACAATATATATTACAATTTAACCCAAAGAAATATTCAGGCATGTTAATAAATGCAAATTTACTTTGCCAATTGCTTGCAAAGTAAATATTAGAAATAACTATAAGATCCATGAATAGAGAGGCTAGTTAAAGCATTCATATTATAAAGCATTCACTGGACATTAAAAAAAAATGAATATAATATATGTGCATTGGTAAGAAAAGTTGCCCGTGATATACTATTTGGTTTAAACTTTAAAGGGATCAGTTTGCATCATCTATGGAATGATGCCATTTTTGTTTTTTCAAAGTAGAATCAAGAGAGAGGAGACCCTTGCTTCTGCAGCCTGACTTGCACCCTGGTGCTGCTGGGAAGGAGAAGGAAAGGAAACACCTGTTGGAGAGACAAGTAGAGACACCTGGGAGAGGCCCGTGGGGAGGCTGACAATGGCAGCCATGACTCTGATGTGGTATCTCCTCTCAACCCGCTTTCTGGAACCTGCTCCAGAACGTGCCTTAGACTCGTAGAGTTGAGGCATCTCCTGAGAGAAATCAAGCTTCTGAATCTGGGTCTATCAAAATGTTTCCAACTTTTTGGGCCTCCCCGGTGGCACAGAGGGTTGAGTGCAGCTCTGTGAAGTTGTCCACAGCCTCTGCAGCGCCGGTTCAATTCCCGGCCGGCCAGGAAGAATCCCCCAAGGCGAGGCAGACTTCTCCTGTCTTGCCCGCTGCGCCCCTCAGCAGTGCTTTCGGTCCATCTGCCTGTTCTACTCCCTGCTCTGTCTCTGGTGAAGCCTCTCACCCTCCTGCGACTCTGGCCTGTACCCCAGCTCGTGTATAAATAAAAATAAAATTAAAAAAAAAAATGTTTCCAACTTTTTAACACTAGAATTCCACCCAGATGTTCTCAATTTATCAGGCACATTCTTAAGCAGGTCTGTCTTGCTTCTTGCTATCTTTTGCAATCAGAAGTCCTGGAGGACAGAGAGGGAAAAATAACTCCAGGTTTGGAGCTGAAGCAATTCCTTGGAAGGAAGCCACTTGATTTCCTACTCAGCTTTCTGAGAGTAAGATACCGCAGGCCATTCCACCACCTGCTCGTCATCCAGAACAATTGATATTACTACTCTGGGTTTCTGTCTCCACCTGTAAAATGAACAGGTGTGACAGTCCCCAGGTGACCTATGAAGCCCAGGTTTTCACCTGGTCACTCATGTCTACAGGACCATCCTTGTCCCCATATCATATCAAGCCCTCCCCACCCTAGAGATCTAGCTACAGACTCAGTTTGCAAGCTCCTTTTTGCTTTCATAATGGAGCTAGAGGTAAGAGACCACAGACTTGACAGAAACAATTCAGTCTTCTTGTGCTGGCAGAGCCTGCTCCCTGGAGCCATTTCTGCTTTCCACCACACTTCCTCTGGCTTCTGAGACATCTGACAGTCCATGTGAGGAGAGGGACATTCAGTTTCTGCTACGTCCCCTGTGTCTGACTCAGGTACAGACACCTGCCTCTCTGCCACTCACCTCCCCCTTCCAGGGACTTACCACACACAGTGCAGGTAGGGAAAGTGGAAGGATGACAACAGCTCACAAAAGGCTCGGTCACTGATCCAGCAGAAGAGAGCAAGGGTCCACCAGAGGCCTGAGAAGAGGCCCAGCTTAAATACACGCACGTTGTCACACCTGCATGGAGATCCAGAGAGAAACTCGCCATCAGTTCTGGTTTTCACCTATTCTGCTGGCCACTGCTGTGGTTCCTCACATCTCTGCAACCCTTTGGTACTTGGAGCCGTCACACATGCTCACGGTGGTAGACACTGTGTGTGTACAGGTAACTCACAAAGTCAAACTTCCAACCAGGCCTCTCCCCTAACTCCATACTCACATAACCAATGACCTTCTTACATAGCCACTTGACACCTAATTTAGATCTAAGTTTCTCGTGTCCATAACTAACTCCTAATCTTCCACCCTGCCCAGAACCTTATCTTCTCCCAGCCCTGGCAGGAAACATGCATTCCATGCTTTCCAAAGCTCAAGTCAAGAATCTTGGATTCATTGTTTTCTTTCTCACACACCACAAATCTAGTCCATCAGCACTAGCTTCCGAAACATGCCAAATCCGACCTCTTCCTACCACCTCTGTTGGGTCCAAGCCATCATCATCTCTTGTCTGAATTATGGCAATCACCTCCGTCTGCCCTTGCTCCTTCAATCAACTCTCAACACTCCACTCAAAAGCCTCCCACATTTTCCCTTTAAGCACTCCCAGTGGCCTGAAGCCCCACAGGCACTAGCTTTTCCTTTGCTCTCCACCTCTTCTCCAGCCTGTTCTCCTCTCACTGCCTCTGCTCATCAAACCCCAGAGAACCCTGGCCAACCCTCAAATAGCCCAGACAAGTTTCTCCACAGAATTGAATTTCTCCCACCTGGAATGTTCTTTCTTAGATCTCTACATGAATCACCAGCTACATATTTGCTCAAATGTCATTCAGTAAGTCCTTTCCTGACCACTATTTTTAACAACTGCAACTGTACCACCTAGTTCTAGCCTCTGAGACACCTTCCTTCTCATCTCTTCCCATCTTTAATTTTTTTTTTAAGATTTACTTTATTTATTTATGCATTCAATAACTGGGGTATAGGCTAGAGGTGCAGATGGGGCGGTGAGAGGATTCACCAGAGACAGAGTGGGGAATAGAACAGGAGGATCTACTGAGATACACTGCTGAGGGGAGCAGTGGGTGAGTCAGGAGAGGTCTGCTGTGCCATGTGGGTCACTTCCCTGGCCGGAGCTCTAACTCATTGCTGCAGTGGCTGCGGAGAGCTTCATAGTGCCCAGACTTAACCTCTTGTGCCACCAGGGATCACCCCTCACCTTGAATTTTTTCTGTAGTGATGATACCCCTCTGTTTCATGTTTCATTTATTGAGTTGTTGTTTATAATCCCCCATCCCCACTGGCATGGAAGCCATGCCCCACTGCATCCCAGCACCTGGAACAGTGCCAGGCCTGCAGGTTCCTGTTTACTTGCTGAGTGAAGGAATGAGCTCTTATGTAAACTGCGGTGAACTGCTTTCCTGAAACAAATCCTAAAAGTCTAAAGGAAATTTCAATTTTTATTTTCTTACCTTATTACCCAATTGCTCATAAAGTGGGTGGCTTCCCTTTCTGGGGAGGCGTGCACAGAGGCAGCTGATAGCTGTGGTTACGTCTAACTCCCACCCACCTCAGGGTCTCTTTCCCTTAGTGGACCATTCCCCAGTCTGTCAAGATCTCATTCAGAAACCAGAATAGGGGCCTCCCTGGTGGCGCAGGCCGTTGAGCACAGCACTGTGAAGCTTCCGCAGCCTCTGTGGCGCCGGTTCGATCCCTGCTGGCCTCAGAGCAACCCACATGGCGAGCAGACCTCTCCTGTCTTGCCCGCTGCTCCCCTCATGTATTTCAGTCAGTCTGCCTGTTCTGCTCCCCTCTCTGTCTCTGGTGAATCCTCTCACCCTCCCGCGCATCTGGCTTGTACCCCAGTTTTTGTATAAATAAAATATATCTTAAAAAAAGAAACCAGAATAAAAAAAAAAAAAAACACACACATTTGCACCTGAGAAGGGATCACATTCATTGGACAAATAAACAGTGTCAAAAGCCTGACTCCCAGTGCCTATGCCAGCTGGCTGGTGGAAACATCAGCAAAGGCACCAGTGAAAACACAACAGTTGGCAGTTCCAAAGACCTACTCCAAACAAAAAAATACCCTTTGTAGGAGGGTTAAATGCATCCCTCAAAAAACTGACACGAGAGACTAAATTCCTGTCTGGTGACTAAAACAAAGAAACGAACAGTATCTGTTCTCCCCTTCCCGTTCAGCACACTCTGCTTTGAACAGCTCACCTGCCAACACGCCGTTCCCTCTCTCAGGGGCTTGTGCCAGCCTGGCCCCTTCCTCTGCCTTCTCAGATCACTTTCTCTCAGCCGCCGCCTCCTAACATCGGCCCAGTCACACCTTCTCTTAGAGCCCTGACATTTTCCTTCCTTAAACTTTTCCAAGCTGGAATCATGTATTTTCTCGTGTAACTATTTCTTTAATATCTAATATCCAACTAGACTGTGAGAGTAGGAACTATGCCTGTTCCCACAATAGGCAAATACAAATGTGTGCTGAATAAAAAGACAGAAAAAGAAAGTAAAGGACAATTCTCAGTGGAGCCTAGTGACCACACATTTTCTTTAGATTTAAAAAAAAAAGACATAATATATATTGTACGTAATGTAGCATAAACATCATTGGGCTTCAACGAGGCACATCCGAAATAACCTTATATAAGATTATGATGCAACATCACTTCAATTAAAAGAAAATAAAAATGACACCTCAATAACAAATTTTAAAAACTAAAATAATTTTAAAAAACACACCAGTAACAACACTGATTGGGTACCACATTCTTAAAATAGATGCCAGGCACTATAAAAGCAAAACAAACAGGCCTCTTGGCTTGCCATTTTCAAAAGGAAAATAAAAACTGACAAAAACAGACACCAACAAATAGAGACAGTCAGTCTGGTACAAGAGGACCTGTGTACACTCAATTTAACTAAACAAAGAATTTTAGCTTAAGGAACACACCAGAACAGAGAGCAATATGCTGGAGAAGTAGCACAAGTTATTATTTTGCTACTGTTTTGTTTTGTTTGTTGTCAAGTAGCAAGAAAGGCGAAATGTCAGGAGGTTAGTCACTGTCAGGAGGTTAGTCACTGGGAGGGGCAGGGCAGAGCTGGGTACACAGCTCCGGGGCAGGGAAGAGAGCCCTGCAGAGGCCGGTCCAGGTGCAGCTGCCACTGTCCTTCCTCTTGCCTACAAGGAAGACTCCAGCTGAAAGTTACTCGCCAAGCTTATTTGTACAAACCTGAGGTTTGGTTTTTCCATTAGGTTTTTTTCCCCACTTTACAGGGTTTATGTCAAAATGTCAATGTAAGGTTAAGTGAAAAAAGCAAGACAAAGGTTCTATTGATAGAAAGACCCTATTTTATAATAGAAAAATCCAAGAGGATGTCTACCATCTCTTTTTAACCCTTTGAAGCATTCTCAAGGTTTTTCTTAACAATAAACTCACTCCCATAATCAGGAAAAAAAAAGTCTGTTTTAAATGTAGTTGAGTCACTGTATAATGTGACACCACCACAAGTTTCAGTAAATGGCAGGTGATGACCCCAAATCATTATAAAAATTTGTCTCCTTGTGGTCTGAGAGAAGGTTCAGGAAGGACAATGAAAAGATAAGAAGACTGAAGTGAGCACTCAGAGTGAAGGCTAATGAGAAACACATAGCTAAGAGCACAGTAAGAAGCATTTATCTGAGACGTTACAGATCATTGCTAATGACAAAAAGGGAAGATCTTGGAAGGAAGAGCAAAGAGCAATAAGGCATCCTCTTGTCTGGGAATTTTATCAAAACAGGCCAAAAACCATTTCTCTTTCCTCACTGGGCCTCAGGTGGGAACTGGGACATGGCAGTGACCATGGGGAGCTGTCCCTGCCCACGTGGGGCCCAGACAGAGCAGAGGACACAGACACTGAACAAAACATCACAAATAATAATTCAATTACCCTCAGGAGGGTGCCATAAGGGAGAAGTTTGAGACGCCATAGGAGCATATAAACAGCTGAGTAAAAGCCTGAAGGATGAGCAGAAGCCAGCCAGGCCAAAGGGGGAGAAAGAAGGGACAGAGGGAACCTGGGCCCGAAGGAGCTACATGCTCCCGGGGACTGGAAGGTCAGATGGCTGGAAGGGGCGCTTCAGGTGGGCGAGATCAGCAAGCAGGGGCCAAAGGAAGGATCTGGAACTTTATCTTAATTGCAATGGCAGCAAATACTAAATAAATAAAAATAAAAAAATAACTGTAATCAGATGGAATGTTCAGGGAAGGAAGAGGAAGCCGAGATCCTGGCTTGAGCAACTAGGTAAATGGTGCTCCTGTTGGGGGAAAAGGATGTCCTGAGCTAATTCCATACAGGCTTTGTGGACTCCACCCCCACTCCAGACCAAAGCCATCAGGACATTGGGAGAGACGAATCCCATCACCACCAAAGGGAAGGTGGCTGGGACCTGAGGGTGGAGTTAAGCAGCCAGGTTTGGTATAAAACCAGACACGTGGGCTTTGGGAGGGGTTCCCTTTTTGGCTCTCCACCAGCTCGCGGCTCGCGGCCAGCTCTCAGAGTGCCTTTGGGTTTCCAGGTCGGCAGATCGGGTAGACGCATTTAAGATTTTATTTCCCTATTTTCTCCCTGAGTTGTACATTTCCTCATTTCCCCTTCCCTTGTAAATAAACCTTTTTTTTTTCCTTTTTTATTATTATTAAAGATTTATTTATTTATACAAGCACTGGGTACAGTCAGAAGCGCAGGAGGGTGAGAGAATTCACCAGAGCCAGAGGGGAGAGCAGAGCAGGCAGAAGGACCGAAGTACACTGCTGAGGGGAGCAGCGGGCGGCAGGAGAGGTCTGCGCGCCATGTGGGACCCTCCTCCGGTGGTCGGGGAGCAGCCGGGGATTGAACCGGCGCTGCAGAAGCTGCGGGCAGCCTCGCAACCCAGCGCTCAACCGCTGCACCACCAGGGAGGCCCGTAAATAAACCTTTTATTAACCTTTTGTGTGTGTCTGCAGTGGAGTATTAATAAGTCCTTTTAA